TCACCTGTCTGTGTTCACCTGTCCCTCCTCACCTGTTTGTGTTCACCTGTCCCCCCTCACCTGTCCAGGCAGGTCATCCCTTCCAGCAGCGCTGTGCTCAGTCGGCCTTCTCCAACAACAAGGCTCGTCTGGAGGCTCCGGTCTTCCTGCTGTTCCTCGACTGTGTCTGGCAGATCCTGCGTCAGTTTCCCTGCTCCTTCGAGTTCAGCGAGAGCTTCCTGGTGCTGCTGTTCGAACACGCCTACGCCTCTCAGTTCGGTACTTTCCTGGGAAACAGTGCGGCGGACCGGTGAGTCTGGACCTGCAGGTTCACTCAGACTGTTTGGTTTTCTGTAAGTCTTTTATTCAAGGTTTCACACAGTGTCTGTGCAGCCAGAGCACAAACCTCCTGGTGACAGAAACCATGAACGTGTCCAGTGTGACTCCACAGTTGTCTGAACGGATTCATGAACTGTCCAACGTGCTGCAAAGTGATTCACTTTTCAAGAATCACAAAGTTCTGTCCAACTTCACATAAATGTGTCCAGAATGTGTCAAATGTCCTCAATGACACTAACTTGTCTACAACGACTTGAATCTCGTCCTAGTCTGTGCTTCTTACGGGTCCTCTGTTAGAAACCACTGCTGAAGTGTTTAAAGTCTCTGAGCCACGAAATGGGAACTTGGTGTTTGAACCCTGACTGTGTGGACCAGGATTTCCTTTATATGAAGTGATTCTGTTTGTTTAATCCTTTCTGTTTGTTGCTGCCTGTCTTATAACTCGTGCAGCTCTGATTTAACATGTTCTGGAGAACTGGACCTGTTTCTGTGCTGGAGCTCACAGCCTCCTCCGGTTCCTTAGATCCAAACTGTCGCTGCCAGAGAAGACGGTGTCTCTGTGGTCGTGGGTGAATCGTCCTCAGGAGCTGGAGCATCTGACCAACCCTCTGTACGAAGCCAACAGTCTGGTGATCTGGCCGTCGGTGGCTCCTCAGAGCCTGCTGCTGTGGGAAGGTAAGAACCAGAGGCCTGCAGGGGGCAGCAGAGGACCAGAGTGCAGCAGGGACTGACCTTAGTCGGCTAGTTTAGTGGAGGAAAAACTGTTTAATATGAATGAAAGCTTTAACTTCCACCTCACATATCTGACATGTGTGAATATATATTTGTGTGTTGTGTCAGCTGGTCAGTCTTCTGTCCTGATCAGTACATGGAATGGGTTCAAAACACAGTCTGTAGATTCTTAGTTCTTGCTATTTTGGCACCACAGCTGATTATTTCCACTGTGGATTGTTCTCTGCATGAATTGATCAGTTGTTTGGGCTCGAAAGGGTGAGAAAATGGTGAAAGATGTGGATCAGTGCTTCCTCAGATGTTCGGTTTGCTGTCAGAGGACAGAAACCAGCAAATATTCACACTGAGAAGATGATGTTGCAGAAGCTGATTAATCAGTGATCACATTAGGTGGAGATGCATTCATTTGTTTAAATCATTGATGGACTGTTGCAGCTCTCTTTCGTTTCCCCTGAACCTCGTTGGCATGTGGCCTGAATTCCTGTGTGCAGTAACACGTGCAGGTGTGAAGCAGCAGAACAATCACCGGCTTCATCGCGCTGTGCTTTGACTCATGTGTGGACCACGTCTGGAATGAAGGCAGGTTCTGACCTGACGCCTGACTGAGGCACACCAGTGTTTGTGTCAGCGGCTGTGTTTGTGATGGTGGAGGGCTCCTGCTCGCTTCACCTTCAGAGAAACTGCTTGAGTTAGCTGAAGACCTGGTTTGTCCTTGAGCTAGTGTTCAGCCTGACTGAAGGAAGCTGGTCTCACTGCAGTAGATGTCAGAGCATCGCTGTGTTTCCATGCGTGACTCTGTGGCGCTCAGCAGCTACATGAGCAGCACCGTGATGTGAGGACGGACAGTCAGCTCAGTTAAAGCTGCTTCAATGCGGCTACACCTGAACGAAACGGCTCCAAACCTGAAGCTCACATTCCTTGAATCTGTAGAACAAAGGTGGAGGATGTGAAGTTGCCAGGAAGCCCAGTAGCCTGGAATACCCTGAAATCCTGCTGGTACGGCGGTCATTAGGACGCTACTGGAACAGACTGAGCGTTGTGCTCTCAGTGAAACCTGACCAGCAGGTGGCACTGCTGATCTGGAGCCTCTATAAACTGCAGCATCGCTCAGCTCAGACTTACAGGCGTGAAAACATGCATTTATGTTCAAGGAGAGTCTGACACAGACCCTGGTTCACCTGGACAGACGTGACACCTGAAGGTCCGTCTGTGGAAGGCGTGGCCTTGTGGGAGCAAACCTTCCTGGTTCCCTCCGTCAACCGTCACCTGCCTGCAGGGTGAAACCTTCGCATTGCTCACATAGCTCCTGGGGAGTGTCAGTGATGTTCTCAGGATGCCAGCTAGTCTTATTATGGGATGTACAGACGGCGTCCTCTCTGACACCTGAGCTCTTTACTACCAGGTCTATTAGCGTCACATGCTATTATTAGCACTGTGAGCAATAATCTTACGCAACATGTTTATTAAAGCCGGCAGAGATTTTACAGTAGAGCATCATAAACACTGAATTAAACTGTGTTAACAGGAGAAGAGCTGTTGTTGGATCAGTGTACTGAGTGTGTGAGGCTTCATGAAGAACTGGTTTACTGTCCATTTCATGAGGAACAAACACTTACAGCTGAGTTTAAATCAACATTCATGAATGCACTTTTCCATTCTTGATGCTGTTAGATGAACCTTCTTCACACTGAGCTGTTAGAGGAGCAGGATAGACCAGAAGCATTACAAACAGCCACACAGGGACACAAAACGGCCTCAAACACACACCAAACAGGGTTGTCTGTGGAGTCAGGTTCGGACCAATCAGAACAGGACCTACACGATGTCAGGCAGCTGGTTCTGATGTTGTGTCTGGGACCCAAAGCAGTTAATTAGCAAAAAGCTTCATTAAAAATGTAGTTATGAAGCTAAACTCAGTTGTAGATTTTTGAGGTTTTCTCCAGAACAACTAGATGATGAGTGAGTAGGTTCGGCCGTACGGTACAGCAGGTCCAGACAGACGGAGGTCAGTAGGTTCAGACCTTCACCGCTTCGGTCTATAAGGAGAACACATGACACCTGAGGAGCAGCTGCAGCGTGAGCTGCTGCTGATAGGACGAGCTGAAGCCTCTCAGAGGACTGGGCTGGAGGGTCCACAACATCTGAACACCCCAGAGTTCTGTACCCAACTTACAGCTAAGTTAGACCCCTGATGCTCATTTTA